TTGCAGTGTGGGGTTCGCAGGGTGCCTGCAGCCAGCCCAGCCAGCAGTGAGAGGATGGCAAGGAGCCCCCACAGTGTCCCCTCCTGCAACAGAGCACAGTACAGCAGGGTCAGCCCCAACCAGGATGCCCACACCAGGGATAAGGTTCCATGACATGGGGATAGAGATGGGGACATGTGATCACGGCCATCGCGGCCACCCAGGCCTGGGCTCACCTTGGGCTGCGGGTGCGTGGTGGGTCCTGCAGACCTCGGCTCTGGTGGCCCCGCTTGTTGCTCCATGCTGGCTGCAAGTGCAGAGGTGGGGGTCAGCGCCCATGCAGAGGGGATGGGGTGGGCACTGAGCTGGCCGGCTGGGAGCTGGCACACCTCTCCCCTGCCTGTGCCAAGCATGCCATTCCCTTCCTCACCACCCCAGCACCCCACAACACCTTCTGCACCCCATGTATGACAACCCCTGTCCCCTCCCTGCACAGCCAGGCACCTTCGCCACCCTGTGCACCCCTTCCAAGAGATCTGGCAGCTGGGACAGCCCAGTCTTTGCCCAGCACCTCTTCTCAGGGGGATGCAGCCACCTCCCCTCGTGAGTGGCCTGGGATGCCAGGCTGGGCAGTGAAGCAGCGGCTGGGGCTGGGAGTGCTGCAAGGGGGGGCCTTTCCCATGGCCCTTCCCTGGGAATGTTTTTCTTGCTCGTGGTGAGAGCCTGACCTTGGAAACTCCAAATCCATTAGCGCAGGGTCCTCGGGTGCAGCCACCCCCTGGGCCCATGCTGGCTCCCCAGCCTGCTGCCTGCACCAAGCTTGGACACAGCCCCAGAGCAGCCCAGGCGAGTGGGGCCGCAATGGGCAGGATGGGCAGGCAGGTCCCGTGGGGACACAGTGGGGCACGGGGCACCACTCTGGGCTCGCCGTAGTCATTCACCCCAACACGACTGCCCGGCATCTGCTGCCCCGACACGCACAGGGGACTTTGGTCCCCGCCATGCATGGTCCCAGCGGAGCAGCGAGCACGGTCTCAGGCGAACGATGTCGCCCAGGAGGTGCAGGGGCGACTCCCGATGTGCAGCCACAGGTTGCATCTCCTTCTCAGGGTGCAGGGAGGCCCCTGTGCCCCAGTGTCCCAAGCCAGGATTCCCCAGAGGTGGCTCCCGAAGGGGCCTGAGCCCTCCCTGGCCCATCTGCTGCCCCCCCGGTCTCTCGGGACAGGACTGTCCCCTTGGAGCTCGGGGGCAGCCTGCAGCGGCGAGTTCCCTCATCCCCTCCATGGCTTTGCCCCAGCACATCCCAGGTGCTTCTGTAGTAAAGCTGGTACAGGACACGCTGAGGAGAGCGCTCCTGGCCAAAAAATGAAGGGACACGGCTGGGCACCACTGGAACAAGGAGACAAAATCAGTTCCCTCAGTTCCCCCTGCATCTCAGGGGACAGTCC